TAGAACAAAGTGATCTTTCAAGAATCTTTTTAATTTGAAGTCTATTTTATCACAAATAACAGCATCTCTGCTTGCCTTCTAGTTCTCTTTGCTCAGAATAACTTTTTCCTTGCTTTCCAGATAAGGCTGTATTTGATGGCACTTTGTGTCTCTGGGCCAACAATTAGATAGATAGATCATGTTTTCATAGTCTAGTTTTCTAGTCTGTCTTCTGATTAGTCTAATAATATTTAGTTACTATTAAAAGGTGTGGGTTAATTTCTATTATTTTATTGGTTTTGCTTCTTTATTCTTCTATCTTTTATTCTTTTGTATAGCATCACAGATGTGTCTATCTTTAGTCTTACCTGAAAGGACTCCTTTGGGTGTGTGTGTGAGACTATAGGTGTGATGTGTGTGCGCCCATATAGATGTGTGTGAGTGCATGTGGTGTGTATGTGTGTGTGAATGTGGCAGCCAGAGGCTGTGATATAAGGTATCTTTCTCAGTGACTCTTCATTTATTTTTGAGCCAAGGTCTTTCATGAAATCTGAATCCCACAGATTTTGCTGGAATATTCAGTCAGGGAGTTCCAGGAATTTGCTCGTGCCTTACCCTGTTCTTCCACCCTACTACTGTGCTTGTAGGACTGTGACCTTACCTTAGCCCTCTGCAGTGTCTTCTGCAGGGCAGGTTTAGGGGCAATGACTTTCTTAAGTTTGTTATTAAGGAAATCTTTCCTTTCTTTTTCAACTATGACAAGTCATCCCACTGCCTTGCTGGTTATTGCAATCTAGATTGACGACTGTTGTCTTTTAGAATTTGGGTCATTCTTATTTTCAGCTTGATACCCCCTTGTTTCACTTGGGAATTCTCTATTCTCAGCAGAAGAATTGCCTTGCCATACTGGTCTGTGAGGAGTTCTCTCAACTGAGGGCCTCTCTTTTAAAGTTTCTGCTGAGAATTATTTGTAATTCTCATAGCTTTGTTTTTTACATGTAACTTGGTGCTTCTCTTGCAGCTGTGTTCTCTATGTTTAGTTTGGTTATTATCCAACATAGAGATTTTTTTCCTCCTGTCTTTTTACTGCTCTGTAACAAATGCCTCCAGAGCGTGCTTATCTCTCTCCCCAAACTTGGGATATTTTCTGAGATGATTTTATTGAATGTATTATTTATGTCTTTAGCCCCCTTGAATTATAAACTTTGTACATTAGTGGCATCCCATAGACCTTATATGTATAGTTGCTTTTTGCTTTTTTCTTTTTTTTACTCTTTGCTTTTCACTCTTGAGCTTTTTTGGGATCTGCCACCCAGCTCCTAAATAAGTACAAGGAGGCTTATTCTTACTTATGAATGTCCAGCCTTATCTTGGCTTATTTATAGTCGGTTTTTTTTTAACTTAAATTATCCTGTCGACCTTTGGCCTCTGGGCTTTTATGTTTCTCTATTCTCTATACCGTTTGTTACTTCTTACTCTGTGTGGCTGTGTAGTTGGGTGGCTGGTGCTTGACGTCCTCTCTTCTTCTCCTTTTGTTGCTCCTTGATCTTCTTTTATGAGATTTCTACTCCTATTTATTACTCTCTGCCCACCAGCCCTGCCTATCCTTTCTCCTGAATTGATATTGGCTCCTTATTCAGCTCTTTATTTGACTAATCAGGTGTTTTAGACAGACAAAGTAACACAGCTTTGAATAGTTAAACAAATGCAACATATATTTGCATCATTAAAATGGTCCACAGCATAAATAGATGTAACATATCTTCAACTAAAATATGTCATATGAGGCTGCTTGTTTGTTCCTGGCTGCCCAGAACTGAAATATTCACACAGAAACTATATTATTTGAATCACTGCTTGGCCTGTTACCCCTAACTTCTTATTGGTTAACTCTTACATCTTAATTTAATCAATTTCTATTAATCTATGTATGGCTACATGGCTGTGGCTTACCAGCAAGGTTCCAACTCCTCTGTTCCCGGTGGTGTCTATATGGTGTCTCTTGACTCTGTCTTCTTTCTCCCAGCATTCAGTTTAGTTTTCCCCACCTAACTCTACTCTTATGTCCTATCACAGGCCAAGACAGCTTCTTTATTCATTAACCAACAAAAGCAACACATATACAGAAGGACCTCCCACACCAAATATATATGTTGTGCTCAGACTTGCTTATTTTCATCTTTGTCAGTTTCTGAATTTATCTGGTTTTCCATTCTTAATATTATATCTTCCATTTGTTCCATGGTGTATGAGTGTTTGGTGAATCCATGTCTGAGTGCAGGTAAGCACACATGTATGAAGGCCAGAGGAAGACAGAGTATTAGTTCCGTCTCTCATTCTTCGCCTTACTGCCTTGACACAGGCAGGTCCTCTACCTGAGCTCACAGCTCACTCAGCTGGGTCGACTGACTGTGAGCTGGAATCTGCCTGTCTCCACTCCTCAGTACTTGAGTTATGGACTGGAGTTGCACAGCATGCGCTCATACTCACCAAGTCATCTCCCCAACACCTTGATATTCCCGGATGATGGTTAGTTGCTATATGTTGATATAACAGGAAATCACAGATATTACTGTGAGTATGCTTGAATGGAATCTATTCTTTTTGTCTGTACAATACGCATAAGATTTTGTTTTTCTCATAAATGAATAAAGGTTATATGTAGTTTGTCATTTTGTTCTGCTATGTTTTGTTTATATATAGCATATGAGAGCTAATGATCCTGAGTGACAAGATCAAATTACTGCGTTTTCTTTAAGAACAAACCTTCACCAGTGTTGTAAGCTTCTCATAGCTTGCCAGCTTCTGATGATGGAAAGTGATCCCACAGAAATTAGTAAAGCCAACCTTTTTTAGTTATCCAAACAAACATGTTTCTCTGCAAAGTTTTCAGACTTGAATATATTGTGTTTAATCACACCCACCCTCCCTCCTGAACCTTTTCTGCCTCTCCTCCCCACCGAACTCTTTCCACTTCACCGTCCCCCGCACACGTGATCCGTGACATGATGATCTCCCGTTCCATCTACTCTGTGCCAATGCCATGGCAGGTTTTCTTCTTCTTTATGGCTGAGTGTCCCGTTGTGAATGTTCCAGACTGTATCCATCCTTCCCTCGGGCAACCAGGCTGACTCTGCGTCTGTAAAACTGTGACAATTGCCTTGAGAAACAGGGCCTGCGCGTCATCTCTAGTCTAGCCTCAGCTTATTTCCTCAGGTGTATGCCAGGAGTAATCTAGCTTCGTTGTCTGGCAATTTGTGTTTTAAGTTTTGAGGAACTGCTCTAGTGAGGCCTACAGCGCTCAATGAAATCTCCACCATGAGCACATAAGGCTTCTTTCCCCTGCATTCTTGCTAGTGTTTTTTCTTGTAAGACTTTCATCCTTTTGGATGGTTTGCTCTTTAACCCATTTTTTTCCTCAGTCCACAAAACCCACGCCTAACATATCTGAGCATTATAGAATTTAATGGCTCACACCACAAACCTAGAGACGACTTGCCCCATTGCACAGAGTTTATGAAATCTCACCGGCCCACAGCCACAACCACAAAAGCCACGGTTTTACAGGTGCAGTTTCTCTGGTGCTCTGCCTCTGGTGCTCCCTTCCTGTTGAGTGCTCCTTCCCTGCTGAGTGCTCCGCTGTCTTTGATCTTGCAATTGGGCTTCTTGGGGACCAACTCCTCTCTCCATGATCAGATCCATAACAAAATCCTTCTGTTCACAAGCTGTGATGGAGCCTTCTCTAGTGTCACATGCTAGTAAGCTATAACACTTCTAAACACCTAACTCCCTAAGAAGATCTCTCTGCTAGAATGGGCCTCTCCCCTCCACACCTTTCCCGCTGTCTGTCTCCCAGTTTCTCAGTCCCTTGCTTTGCCACCTCTGTTTCTGAAAAGAAAATCTTCAACGTTGCAATGCAAATACACAATAATGCTTTCATCTCAGGGTGAAGAGTTCGACAAACTTCACTTAGCACAGAAGCTGTCCATTAGCCATAATGAAAACAACAAAAGAAAATGCTTTAGAATATTAGACAAAGAGGGCAAGAGCAGAGAATTTATTTTTGTACACTTTCAACTGGCAAAATGGATAAAAATAATGAGATTTAATAATATAACTGGGTACTTTCAATGCTCAAGATTTTTTTCTTATGAATTTAATTCATCTATTGATGGGGGAAGATTGATAATGTGCATTGTCAAGTAATTCCATACACTTTGTCATCATTCAAGCAGCGATACATCCAGTAAGTGTTAGACATTCCTGAAGCTGGGCATGCAACCCAAACCACAAACAAAGCTAGGCGTTGCGCTCATGAATTTTACTTTTCAGATCCTGAATACAATAGTCCTTGGCACGCCATTATATTTCATCAACACTTTCCAGAAAGACAGGACTAAATAAGGGCAAGATGCGGAGCAGGCCTGGAATTTCTCAACGTTGACTGCACCTCTAAATCAAGGTTTTATGGCTGCCTTGCCATTAACTGTGCTGTCTTACACAAGTTACTTAGTATTTATATTTCCCTGTCAATGAATGCGGTCAAGAGGGTTTTATCTGTTAGCGTGGGATGTGTGTTCATTATTCAGCGATTACTGTGATTGCTGTCATCCCCTGGTCACAACAAACGCACTTGCTCAACAGGATCACCTGTGTAACACTGAAGACCTTCTGCAGCCCTGGCTGCCCAGTAGACCAATGAAATTCCCAATTTTGAGCATGGAACACAGGGTTCAGGGACACTCTACTTGGTGGTTCCAACGTGCAGGCAGGTTTCGGAGTCAACCTTGCACTCTGTATTCTAGACTTTTCCCATCCTATTCACCTGACTGCATCTGCGAAATTCATATAACCGAGGTGCAACTATCTGGGTCTTGTACTGTAACGTGAATACACATTTTTCCCACTTATCAAGAATGGGGACCGTGACTGTGTCGTGCACAGCTGCATGTGTGTGACCCTAAACTGTGAAAGGACTGCCATCGCAGCCTCAGCTGGGCCTGCCCGGAGGGAGAGAGGGACGAGCAGGAAGAGAAAGCATTGCCTGGGGCTCTGGGCCCGGGCGGTTGGACAGCTCGGCCATTCCCGCTGGGATCAGCACTTGGGGCCACCTTCCCGCGTCCTCTGGACGCCTCTCGTCTCCCACCCCGACCCGCGATCGCGGCCCTGGGCTGGTGTTGGCGCCCGCTCTCGGTTCCCGCCTGTACCGCGGGCTCCAGCGCTCTCTGCTCGTGTCATGGAGCCCGGGCCGCACAGCAGGCCCGCCGAGCCGGGGCGTTGCGTGAGCGGCTCGCCCGGAGCGGGCTCAGCGTTTCCAGCGTCCCTGCCGTCTGGCGCCGGGGCCGAGCCCGGGAGTCGCCCAGGAACCGTGGCCGCCGTGCTGCCGGCCGGGGGCTGCGGGGAGAGGATGGGCGTCCGCACCCCGAAGCAGTTCTGCCGCGTGCTGGAGAGGCCGCTCATCAGCTACACCCTGCAGGCCCTGGAGAGGTAACTGGCGCTGGCCACCCGCTCCCTAGAGCCCATCCCAGCAGGCAGCGTGGGGCGAGCGCCCGGCTCGGCTCGGCTCGGGGGCGAGCATGGCACCGGGACCGAGGGACTTTCGGTTCCTACGCTGGCCCCGTGGGCCGCAGGGACAGCGGCTCTGGAGAGCCCTGCGCGCACAGCCACCGCGCATGCGTGCGCCCGAGTGGCCCAGGCGCACCTTGGGTTTCCTGAGCGGGCACGGTTTTTAATCTGGGTGATTCTTTTTTTTTTTTTTTTAACCCGAGAGATGGGCCTGGCCAAATACCAGGCAGTGAAGAGATTAGCAGGGTTAATGCCAGCCTTCCAATTCGGGAGGGGACTGGAGGGTGAGGTTGAGGCCCTAGAAAAGAGAAGGACGTTATTAGTTCCAGAAACAGTGAGCAGTGTCTGAAAGGCCTCGAAGACGTGGTGAGATGGGAAGAAGGGATGCGTTACTTGTGTGGTTCTGTGATGGGGCTAAGGTGAGACTGGGAGGGTAGGAGTCGACAGCGATACAGAGGCCTCCAGTTCTGCAAGGTCTTTACTCTTGAAGTCAGATCGGAACCTAAGTGACGGGGGCTTCATTTCAAGATAGAGGGCTTTGATAGAAGCCACTGTCCTTGGCGTTTTCTCCTTGGCAACTTCCTCTCCCGTCCCCAACACACTTCAGAATGCCAAAGAGACAAAGTGATTGCTCATAGGATTATTTTACTTTCTGATTATTGGTATTTAGCAAATGGAAGTGTAAGGGGTCGCAATCATCCTTGATTAATGTAATCAGATCGGCGGTTACATCGGAAACTCAGTCAGACCTGGAAATGATTCCAGTTACCACCCCTGTCTGTGACTTTATTCCTTTGTATAGTGTGGAGGTTGCTTCATACAGCTGTCCTGTCAATGCCACACAGCAAAATAGCACTACATCCATGCCGGCCACAGGATGACTCGCAATGGATGTAGGATCCATGCTGGCCATGGGATGACTCACAACAGACATAGCATCCATACTGGCCATGGGATGGCTCGCAATGGACGTAGCATTCATGCTAGCAATGGAATGGTTTGCAATGGACATAGCATGCATGCTGGCCATGGGATGGCTTGCAGTGCCCCCTGGCAGAAGGATCTTTGACTGCTTGGTAGTTATATGGAGGGAGTAGTAGATGCTTTTTTTTTCATTTACCATCTCTTTATATGCGAAATGCTTTGTATTAATTTGCTTTTTTGCATGTACCGTGGTAGCCTGAGAGAGGTGAACACTAACAATTAAATCTTTTAATCAAAAATAATGTTTGCAAAATATTACAGAATATAATATAAAATACAAATAATATAAAATATTATGGAAAATGTGGTGAAAGAACACTTGTTTTCCATTTTGCGTACTTAATAACAATAGTGTGAAATCTCAATAATCTTCTAGGGAAATTGGGATAAATTATAACAGGTTGTAAGTCACGGAACTTTGATTACTTTTTCCTTTGATTAACAAGGACCTGAGATTGGGAATCTTAGTCCCTGCTGTGACTGTTGCTTTGTGACAAGGGTTTCTGTGAAGAAATTTTGTTCCAAGAAGCCACGTGACAAAAAAATTATTTCAGGGCCGTGAAGTTCTGATAGAAGGCTCGGCTCAGTTCATTAACACACTTTTACTGTTTAGAAAAATGTTCTTCCTGAATCTGAACTTGAAATGGTTTTGTCCCTCACAGTCAGGGGCCCACAGAAGGGACAGTAGAGCAGTTCCCACAAAGGAGCAGCTCCATTGCAGTGGGACTGGTTGAGATTGTGCAGAAGGAGGCAGTAGACTGTTGCATGGAGAGAGGCCCTTTGTCCCATCTGCCCGGCTAGCTTACACCCGAAGTAACCACACAGAAACTGTATTCATTAAAACACTGCTTGCCCATTAGCTCTAGTTTCTTATTGGCTAATTCTTACATCTTAATTTAACCCATTTCTATTAGTCTGTGACTGTGGCTTATCAGCAAGATTCTAACCAGTGTCTGTCTCAGGTAGAAGATCCATGGTGTCTCTCTGACTCTGCTTTCATCCTCCCAGAATTCAGTTCTGTCTTTTCCTCCTACCTCAGTTCTGCCCTACAGGCCCAAAGCAGTTTCTTTATTCATTAACCAATGAGAGCAACACATGAACAGAAGAACCTCCTACACTATTTCCCCTTTTCTGTTTAAACAAAAAAGGAAGGCTTTAACTTTAACATAGTAAAATTACATATAACAAAACAGGGATCAAATAAGAATTATAGTTATAATACAATACTTATATTTACTTTATCTTTTATCATAACTAAGAAGAACTATAACTATTTATCTATTTTTAACTCCATTAAAGACTCCAGAAGGATATAATATTACCTAAGTAAACAGGAAGTACATTGTAAACAACTTTTAAAACTCCAGAATTGACAGAGACATCTTACTACCTGGATAGTCACCCAAAGTTTTTTTTGTACTGTTGGGGCATCCATCTTTAGTTTATTGTCGCAAAGTATCCAGCAGACTCTTTTATGAAGCAGGAAATTTTAAAGACAGTTTTGCCTATACTGGCAGTTTGTTGGTCACTTTTTTGTGTCCTGTAGAATGTCTTACAGACTCTTTTATGAAGCAGGGACTCAGAAGGATCGTCTCACCTTTAGACACGTTTAGCAGTCATTTTTTTTGGTAGATATTGCATGTCCAGTTTAGTAGTCCAGGCAAGAGCAGTTTTTTCCCAAATGGCCAGCAAACTCCATAAGGAGCCTCTTCAGAACCTCCTACACCAGTAGACAACATAGTGTGGCATCTGAGGAGAAGACTCTGCTGCTGAACATCCTGGGAAAGGAGAGGCAGGTGATGCTCACCTTGTGCATGCTTTGTTTGAGGGGCTACAGGGTGGAGTTGACAGTCCAGTGAACTTTAGCTCAGGGCTGGGGCCGGTTTCTTTTACTCCACTGTGTGACAGCTTTCTCAATACCTGTTTAATCTTGGCAGGGGCTGAAGTCAGCTGGGAAAAATCTGCAGCTGGCTGGGTCACAGAGGGGTCAAGGTTTGTTTTTTATTGTTGTTATTGTTGTTAAGATATAAAATGTGGGGTTGGTGACTAGGGTGGCCATAGAAATAAAACTTCTTACCAGTAATCTAATTTTTTTTTAGAGATTTTAGAAGTGTTGGTTAGTGTGGAATACAAGATTATGACTACACCGGACAAACAAGTGAATCTAAGCCATGCTTTTCTAGACGTGTGGGGCTGGGAGGCCCCGTCAGGTCTGCTTTGACCTCACTTGCCCTAAAGTTTTTGTGGTTTCTTCAGCCCTCTTAGGTTGAAGTTCCTGCTTTAAGAGAACTTGTTCCTTGATATGGTTCATGCTTATCAAAATGTCCTGATTTGGCCTCGGATCTCAACCACACACACAATTGTCCAGGTCTATAATATTGCTTTAATCCATTGCAAATTCTACTGAACATCCTCAGTGTTTCTCTAAATGAGCAATATTGATCATTCAAGTTAAACTGAGATCATAAGAATGGGAGAGACAGGATGTGAGAAATGTTTAGGAGGTGGTATCGATCCCAGCGGTTAGTGATTCAGAAAGAGAAAGGTGCTTATGATACTTTTAGTTGAATGGTAAGGTAGAGCAATTTGGCTTACTAAGAAGGTCATGTCCAAGTGAAGGGAAGAAGTAAAGCTGTTGTATTTGTATTTTGTACTCAAGTAGAGCTCTGCATTGTCTTGACTTGGAGACTGCTTTTTTTTTTTTATTGATTTTTACTAAGCTATACATTTTTCTCTGCTCCCCTCCCTGCCTCTTCCCTCCCCTTCAGCCCTCTTCTAAGGTCCCAATGCTCCCAATTTACTCAGGAGATTTTGTCTTTTTCTACTTCCCATGTATGTCTGTCTTAGTGTCCTCATTGTTGTCTCGGTTCTCTGAAATTGTGATTTGTAGACAGGTTTTCTTTATATTTAAAAATGACTTATGAGTGAATACATATGATAATTGTCATTCTGGTTCTGGGTTACCTCACTCAACATGACGTTTTCTAGCTTCATCCATTTGCCTGCAAATTTCAAGATGTCATTTTTTCCTGCTGTGTAGTACTCCACGGTGAAAATGTACCACATTTTCTTTATCCATTCTTCAGCTGAGGGGCATTTAGGTTGTTTCCAGGTTCTGGATATGACAAACAATGTTTCTATGAACATAGTTGAGCATATGTCCTTGTGGCACAATTGAGCATCCTTTGGGTATGTACCCAAAAGTGGTATTACTGGGTCTTGAAGAAGGTTGTTTCCTAATTTTCTGAGAAATTGCCACACTGTACCAGCTTGCACTCCCACCAGAAATTCAGGAGTGTTCCCTTTACCCCACAACTTCTCTAGCATAAGTTGTCATCAGTGTTTTTGGTCTTGGCTATTCTTATAGGTATAAGATAGAATCTCAGACTTGTTTTGATTTGCATTTCTCTGATGACTAAGGATGTTGAGTATTTCCTTAAGTGTCTTTCAGCCATTTTAGATTCCTCTGTTGAGAGTTCTCTGTTTATATCTGTATTCCATGTTTTTTTTATTTATTGAATTATTTGTTCTTTTGATTACTAATTTCTTAAGTTCTTTGTATATTTTGGAAATCAGTCCTCTGTCCAATGTGAGGTTGGTGAAGATCTTTTCCTCTTCTGTAGACTGCCATTTTGTCTTGTTGACCATGTCCTTTGCTTTACAGAAGCTTTTCAGTTTCAGGAGGTCCCATTTATTAATTGTTTCTCTCAGTGTCTGTGCTACTGGGATTATATTTAGGAAGTGGTCTCCTATGCCAATGCATTCAAGTGTGCTTCCCACTTTCTCTTCTATAAGAGTCAGTGTGTCTGGCTTTATGTTGAGGTCTTTGATCCATCTGGACTTGAGTTTTGTGCATGTTGATAGATATGGAACTTTTTTCATTCTTCTACATGTTGATATCCAGTTATGTCTGCATCATTTGTTAAATATGCTTTCTT